AAAATACTGTACAGAGGGGTTACAATTACATGGGCAAGATAATGAGTACATTTCTTATCAAGCATTGTAGCCTCCTCCTTTGTTTCCCCTTCCCATCCCATCTGCTCCCTACCTCTCCACACAACCCTCCTCCTCCTCCCCCCCACCCAGACAGTCTTAATTCCAATAGTCCCTCCTTTAAAAATAGCCTAGTTTCTGTTTCACCAACCATGTAGGCCAATTTTAACCTTGGAAGAGAGCCTAGAGGCTAAGACGGCCTCATGACTCAAATCACTACTACTTTCGTTTATACAATGCTGTTAGAAAAGGGAAAATTTTAAATTATTAGATAAGTTGTATGATAAAATTTAAAAAAATACTACTCTCACCTGCAAGGTGAAGTGCTAAGTCTCGGTACAGTTCTCTACTCAGGTGCTGAAATTCAGCCTCTTGCCACACTTTCCCATCAGGTGTGCGAATCTTAGTCTCTGAAGGGTTGAAACCTAACACAGGCCAACAATACAGATTATCAAAGTTGCTTTATAACTATCAGTGACGTCAGTTCTCACATTGAATGTATACACTACCATATAGCAATCATTTTCTAACATTAATTTCTGCGTGAATTCTTGACAGTAAAAAATATTGTATGATTACAGAGAAAAGTTTGTAACTGCAACATAGAAACACCACTACAGCTGCTTCAAACAACAGAAACAGCAAATAGCAACTTTCAGTTTACACAAGGCTGAGTTATGACTGACAAGTTACTGTCCATCAAATTTTCCTTCTTTCGGTGAGAAAAAAAAAAAAAAACACAAGAAGCAGTTAAGCAATTGGGAAATAGCTCCTCTAGGAATGAAGAAGCATTCTTGTGAATGCCTTTTTAAGATGTTTTGATGTGCAATTTTTTTTCCCCAGAGTCACCTACTCATTAGCAAGTTGTGTTAAAAATCATTCCTTGCCTCTGCTTTATAAATTGACATGATTTATTTTAGTTATGAATACACATTGCTCTAAATCCTTCAATAAGCACATCACGTTTATCAGTACAACTACATTTTTTTCTGCAGTGTTAACTTCACATCTTCATCATTGCTATTGTCATGATCGCCATGTTTCAGAATCATTTTAGCTATTTCAAAATTAGTCAACAAATTATGGCCTCATTATTGATATTCAAAACCTCAATATTCACTTCCTCCAGCTTACTGATAAGATTCCGAAGGTTTGCATATGTGAGGTTGTACATCTTTTTGTCACTTGACACCACTGTGTTTAGTACCTACAACTGAACAGGTGTAGGCCAGACGTTCCAAGCAGTGACAACAGCATAAGTAAGTGTCCTCTTGTTATACTTTGAAAACGTTCCAAACTTATACCTCTGATGACTTTTAGCATGCTATTCCAGAAAGTATTTTTATTCTCTTCATTGATCTGAGGACATCCTTGTCACATAGTTTAATTAATAATCATATTAATTATGCCACATTTATTCACAATATGGCATAAACATTATTTGGAGGGGTTGCTGGGGGGGGGACTGCTTTTTAGGTTTAAGTTTTTCTGTGGTGCTGGAGATCAAACCCCAAGGTTACTATGAGCTCCTTAGCACTGAGCTATATACCCTTTTATACTGTAAGTATAAATCTTGTAGTGATCATACAATCCAGCTTCCCAGCAGTGAAAACAAGCTGCTAGTACAAACGTTTGTGAAATCAATCAGAAAAGATGTTCTCAGTTATCCATGCCTTTTGTTAGGAGTAATAATAGAAACTATGCAAGCTTTTGCCTGTCACAGCAAGTTCACACCAAGCACGTGCCTGCTGCATTAACACATCCCAGCATGGGATGCCCTTTGCATCCTTAATTTCTGTGGTGGCTGTCTCATCAGTTGTAGTTAAGATCTTTCTGGGGCAATAATGCCAAAATAGTGATGTTTCATCAGTATTATAGACTGACTAGTATCAGATTCTCAACAGCAATGACTTTGGCAAACTAGACATTGAGTATCTGTGGTTCTGTAAACAGCAGATGCTTTATCACCACAAATCTGTAAAAAATTAAAACTGGGTCTTTCTTAAATTTCTGAAACCAGCCTTTGAATATTCATAGTTCTCTTCAATTTCAGTTCACTGTGATAGATCTTTGTTTCATGATTAGTATACCATTCATTCAATGGTATGTGTTCTGTGATGACAGATCATTCTTGCAAAACATAATCAAGACCTTCATCGTTAGCTTTATGTAGTATTTTTATATTTTTCTGTTTATCACTTTGAGTATAGAATTTCAAAAGCTTCTGTTTCTTCAGGCCATGTATGCTGATCATTCCAACATCACATTCTACTATACATTTACATTGCTGTGCAGCTTGACTTTCAGTGCTACTGATGAACATAAATGCTTCCACTTTTTAAAAACTTATTGCTACTCATAAGGGCATATGTAGAACATTTAAACATTTTCAGCACTATCTTTACACCACAGGCAGAGAATAAGCAAAAGGTATTAAGAGAAATGTACATGGGTCTTGGTGCCATGTACACTATAATGGGTAAATGCTATTGAGAGTCCAGCCTACATACATGCCATTTTATTAACCATTGTGAACATGGCTGAGCAGCTGAGTAGGGGAATTTGAGTATGTACTATGTAAAGACACATCACAGCTGAAAGGGAAAGGCTAGAAGAGTCTCTTTTTTATCTCTTGGAGATTTTGAATAAACTGTGTTGTACACGTGCATTTTGACTGTAAAGTACTGCATGAGGTCAGGTATAAAATTTTCCACCAGTGGTTCCATGTTAGTGCTTCCAACACATCAGATTTGAGATTTTCTTTCCTTTCCCACTTTACAAAGTATTTTTTTCTCTATGAAGCCTTTCCTTGCACTTGCATCTTCACTTACAAGTTACCCATAGGAAGACTTCAACATCCATATTCATTTGTCCATTTCTCTTTGTCCCCACTTCTTTGTTTTCATTTTTTGTCCAATTTTTTTTCTGCTAATTCAACTGACTGAATAGAATTTAAAACAAAAATTACGAGGTACTTCCTTATATCCATGACATGACTCTAGGCTCTGAAATAAAGTAAGATAACTAAGATAGGCTCTTTACTTTCATGGCATGTATATCAAGGAGAAAAAGATACGCAAATAACTAAAAATAATATGAGTCAAAAGAGCACAATTTATGTTCACCACTTCAAAATTTTGAAGCAGAATTATAAAATCTCTCTCTCCTCTCCCAACCTCTGTGTGTGTGTGTGTGTGTGAGTGTGAGTGTGTGTGTGTGTGTGTGTGTGTGCAATAGTAGAGCTTGATTGAACTTACTTAGGTATTGTACCTGAGCTTTTTCACTCAAAGCTATTATTCTATTACTTGAGCCACAGCTCCATTTTTCCTGTTTTCTTGGTGGTTAACTAGAGATAAGAGTCTCGCAGACTTTTCTGTCTGGGCTGTCTTTAAACTGTGATCCTCAGACCTCAGCCTCCTGAATTGCTAGGATTTAAGGCATGAGCCACCAGCAACCAGTTTTCCCTTTAAGACAGAATTTTGCTATATAATTCTTGATAGCCTGGAATTTGTGATTCTCCTGTATTAGCCTCTCTTTTGTTAAAATAATATTAGTAATAATAACACCAGCATGCACAGGGTCCTGGGCTCAACACCCAGTACAACAAAGAAAGAAAAGTCAAAGTACAGAATGGAGTTAGTATGCTAAAAAATATAGAAGAAAAAATATATAGGGGCTGAGAATGTGGCTTACTGGTAGAGTGCTTGCCTAGCATGCATGAAGCCTTGGGTTCAATTCCTCAGTACCACATAAATAGAAAAAGCCAGAAGTGGCACCATGGCTCAAGTGGTAGAATACTAGCCTTGAGCAAAAGCAGCTAAGGGATAGTGTCCAGGCCTAGAGTTCAGTCCTGGGGCTTGCACACACACACACACACACACACACACACACACACGCAGGCACGCACGCACACACGCGCGCGCACGCAAATTGTTTCCATATGCAAAAATTAAATATGTAAATTGTTAAAACCAGTAATTTCCAGCAAAGGAACGAGATGGTTGGAGCACATAAGTAATGAAGGCTTTCAAGATGCACTTTGTATTTTTCAACTTTTGAATTGTGAACCAAATGAATTTATTATGTATTGAAACAAATTAAATTTAAATGTCACTTTAGAATAATGTTTTAAGGTGCTCTTAAGTTGCATTGTCAAAAACTTAGCACAAAATAGTTGTTAGCTCTTGAGGAAAAAAAAGATAGTTTTTTTTTTTTGTCATGGGGCTTGAATTCTGGCCCTGAGTGCTGTCCATGCGCTCTTCAGCTTAAGCCAGCATTCTACCACTTGAGCCACAGAGCCACTTCTGGTTTTCTGGTGGTTAATTGAAGATAAGAGTCTCACAGAGGGGCTGGGAAGATGGCTCAGTGGTAGAGCGCGTGCCTTGCATGCCTGAGGCCCTGGTTCGATTCCTCAGCACCACATAAGCAAAAAGAAAAAAGCCGAAAGTGGCGCTGTGGCTCAAGTGGTAGAGCGCTAGCCTTGAGCTGAAGAGCTGAGGGACAGCGGCCCAGGCCCAGAGTTCAGGCCCCACAACCAGACCCAAAAAAAAAAAAAAGAGTCTCACAGACTTTCCTGTCAGAGCTGGCTTTGAACCAGGATCCTCAGATCTCAGCCTCCCGAGTAGCGAGGATTATAGTCGTGATCCACCAGCATCCAGCTAAGACACTCATTCTTTAGGATTTTAACTTTCAGGTAAAATATTAAGTTAAGACATGATTTTGAATCTGTCATCTTTACCTAAGTAGAATAATCTTTGGTATTTTAGAACTTTGGTACATTAAGCACTAACTATATAATCTGCATTTAATGGATAGTATAGCAAAGAGTTGGGGTGATCACTATTTCAAAACTATTAGGAATATTTTGGCCCTACCATTTCCTGTTTGTTCCAACAATGTGGATATTATATACAAATAATTAGAGGACATAAAATAATTGTACTAGTGACATATTAGACCAATTACAGACAACAGAGAAATTCTTCACATTCTAAAGTGAAATTGGTCACAAGTGTATTACAGATTAGCTAAAATGAAAAGTAAATTATCCTTTCTCTTATTCACAATACTAAAAGCATTAGCAAAACATAGTAGGTAACACAAAAAAAAGTAAAAGTGGTAATTGCTAAAAACTATACAGAGCATATATTTCCAGAAGAAACAAATGACCTACAAATACTATAAAACTATATCTTTTTAAAAAAACTACTCTAAAACTCATTGGGGAAAAATACATTTGGTAGAGAAATAGAAAACCAAATTGACTATAGCAAAAATTACTCATTTGTTAATAACTTAAAATTAGAAGAAAAAAAACGTGCTTTTTGATCTGCCTAAATTTATCTACAAAACTAAAATTGGAAAAATATGCACTAAAGAAAGACTATAATGGCAGAAGTTTTAATGACAAAAGTCTAACATGAGCTAAATGATCAAGAAGTCAATTCATTAAAAACTTCACACGGATGCTTCTATGAAAATAAATTAAGAGCTGGGCACTGGTGGCTCATGCCTGCAAGCCAAGCTACACAGGAGGCTGAGATCTGAGGACTAAGGTTCAAAGCCAGCCCAGGCAGGAACAACCGTGGAACTCTCATCTCCAATTAACCACCAGAAAACCGGAAGTGGTGCTATGGCTCAAGTGGTAGTGTGCTAGCTCTGAGCTGAAAAGCTCCCTGACAGTGCCCAGGCCCAGAGTTCAAGCCCCCTGACAGACCAAAAAAAGAAAAAAAGGAAAAGAAATTGAGGTATATAAATACAAAAATAGACATTCTCAAGCCGGACGCCGGTGGCTCACACCTGTAATCCTAGCTACTCAGGAGGGAGGATCGCAGTCCAAAGCCAGCCCGGGCAGGAAAGTCCATGAGACTCTTATCTCCAATAAACCACTAGAAAACTGGAAGTGGCCCTGTGGCTCAAGGGGTAGAGCGCTCGCCTTGAGTTGAAGAGTGCAAGGGCAGCACCCAAGCCCAGAGTTCAAACCCCACAACCAACCAAAAAACAAACCAAAACAAAAAAGACATCCCTCAAAATCAAAAAAGAACTGGCTAAAAAAGAAAAGAGAATGAGAATGGCATTGTCCAAAAAGTAAAGTACTCATTACCTGACTTATGTAACAGCTGTTCTCTACATCACCTTTATAATAATAAAAAATTCAAGAAAAAAATTAATTCAGAAAAGCAAAACTCAAAACTTGAGTTTTAATGTCAGTTCCAAAATAATGTTTAGCCAAATATTTGAATATTCACTAGAAACTAGAAACTGATTTTTTAAAATAGTTTTTATTTTCAATACTGGTTATTAAATTCAGATTCTTGTACATGCTAGACAATTGCTCTACTACAAGCTATGTCCCTAATCCTTTATAAAGTTTTCATTTTGAGACTGGGTCGTGCTTGTCTTACATAGCCCAAACTGAACCTTAAACTGACTATTTAGCTCAAGATGGCCTCAAACTTAAAATCTTCCTGTCTCAGCCTTCAAAGTAGCTTGGATTGGGCTGAGAAGGTGGCTCAGTGGTAAAGCGCTTGTCTTGCATGCCTGAGGCCCCGGGTTCGATTCCTCAGCACCACATAAGCAAAAAGAAAAAAGCTGGAAGTGGTGCTGTGGCTCAAGTGGTAGAGCACTAGCCTTGAGCTGAAGAGCTGAAGGACAGTGCCCAGGCCCAGAGTTCAGGCCCCACAACTGGACCCAAAAATAAATAAATAAATAAATGAAAGTAGCTTGGATTATTCACATACATTACCACAAATATTAAATTTTGAAATAATTCCTATTAATTACAAATATTAAGCACAGTATTCTTTGTTCTCTCAAAATAGTACTAATTCTTATTTCCTGTTTTATATAAACTTATTAGACATTCATTAGTCTCAAACTTTAAGAATTCTCTAACTTGTTAAAAATTATAATTCTGGGGGCTGGGAAGGTGGCTCAGTGGTAGAGCACTTGCCTTGCATGCCTGAGCCCTGGGTTCAATTCCTCAGCACCACATAAGCAAAAAGAAAAAAGCTGGAAGTGGCACTGTGGCTCAAGTGGTAGAGTGCTAGCCTTGAGCTGAAGAGCTGAGGGACAGCACCCAGGCCCAGAGTTCAGGCCCCATGACCAGACCAAAAAAAAAAAAAAATTATAATTCTGGACCCCATCCAAGAAACTTAGAGGTGAATCTAGGCATCTGCCTTTACAACATTTTTCTTGACATAATTTTTTTGGATTATTAAGTTATTGTACAAAGACATCACAATTGCATTTGTCAGGTTATGAGTACAATGCACTTGATCTATGTCACTGACATAATTATTTTGTGCATCAAATCTGAGAATCACAACCTGTTCTAAAGATGGTCTAGACTCTATTAAAGTACATACTAGGAGAAAAAGGAAAGAAGAAAGGAAAACAAAGAAAGATACAAAAACTAAACAAACCTTTATATGTTGGAGCAGGTGGTGCTGTTGCGACTTTCCTGACTTTTGCTGTCACTGAACTATCAACATTAACAACCATTACTGGATGGTTAATATGACCCAGATTCTGGCCCCGGCCATTTATTTCTTCTGAGTGTTCCCACTGTTTCCTAATTCGCTCCTTGAGTTTTTCCAACTTGACATCATGTTGTCTTCGCTTTAAAATGTCTAATCTTTGGGAATTACAAGTACTTGTAGATGACGGAGATGAGTCTGTTAACCATAACACTTTTGGATCAACATCAAGGTCCATCTGACTCACCGAAGGCTTTGAATTGTTATCATTTCTTTTTGCTCTATTAGGTATTTCTTCTTCAGTTCTCATAGCTCCCATTTTAATTAAACATTCAGAATTGTGCAATGCATCAATTGCTGGTCGATCATTTAAAAACCTAACAATCGTGTCACTCATGACAGATGATTTAGAGCTCTCAAAATCACAACGTATAGTCTGTTGTTCTCGATTGCATAACATCTGGTTACCACTCTCAACCGTATCTTCATTAACATCATCTATACAATATACATGCTTTGACTCTACATGGCTGGGACTTAAGTTGGAAGGTGTACCATGGATTTCCCTGTAACAAAAAAATAAAAAGCTTTCAGACTATAGCTAAAACAATATATTATACACTTGAAATATTATTGCCAAGAATAGATTTTTAACTTTTACACCACAAAAAAGTAAGAATGTTAAGCAATGTACGTAAAAATAGGTTGTGTGAGCAGGGCTGGGAAGGTGGTTCAGTGGTAGAGCGCTTGCCTTGCATGCCTGAGGCCCTGGGTTCAATTCCTCAGCACCACATAAGCGAAAAGAAAAAAGCCGGAAGTGGCGCTGTGGCTCAAGTGGTAGAGCACTAGACTTGAGCTGAAGAGCTGAGAGATAGCACCCAGGCCCAGAGTTCAGGCCCCACAACTGGACCCAAAAAAAGAAAAAAATAGGTGTGTGAGCAATTCTACAACACACATATATATCCAAACACTATGCTGGATAAAATATTTTTTTATAAACATAAATGATGCTGGGTGCTGGTGGCCTACACCTGTAATCCTAGCTACTCAGGAGGCTGAGATCTGAGGATCATGGTTCAAAGCCAACCTGGACATGAAAGTCCGTGAGACTCATCTCCAATTAACCACCAGAAAGTGGAAGTAGCTCTGTGGCACAAGTGGTGTGTGCTCACCTTGAGCTGAAGAGCTGAGGGACAGCGCCAGGCCCAGAGTTCAAGCCCCATGACCAACAAAAAGTAAAATAAATATGATTTTTACTTGTCAAATTAATAAATTGATTTTTTTAAGCAAAAGCTTTCTAATACAAAAAAAAAAAATCAGTAAGAGAAACTGAATGGAGAACTTAGAGCTACCAATAGATGCCACCTCCCAATCTAAAAAAAAGAAAAGAAAAGAAAAGAAAAAACCAACAAAAACAAAAATTAGAAATTCCTCTAAATTAAAAGTAGTAAAATAGCTGGAGGTAGTGTAGTGATGCACACTTGTAATCCCCAGCGCTCAATAGGAACAGAATCACAGGATCATAAGATTATGATTTTGAGGCTAGCTTAAACTATGTGGTGAGATCCTGTCTCAGGGAAAAAAAAAAAAGTTTAAAATAAGGAAAAAAAAAACTGCATTTGGGAGGTTGTGGCAGGAGGCTCATGAGTGAGTTTGAGGCTAATCTCAGATATATAATGCATCCCCGTCTCAAAAATAAATAAATAAACTATGATTAATACAATGGTACTAATCCTTGTTCGCCTTGCTTAATCAATGCTCAATGCCCTTTCCACCAAATGGAAAATAATCAAAATAGCAATCTGTATGTTATAAAATGAGAAATATGCAAAATACCTGTGGGAAGTTTTCTTTTTAAACTACAAAGAGGATTTTATAATCTGACTGTAGATATTCATTTAATGTTACAGAAAAACTGTAAGTTATTCCTTATTACATATGAAGTATTAGGGAAAAAAAGTTCTCAAACTGGCATCTCATAAATGTAACTTCTATATAACATTCCAGATTAACAAACAGATTGGGAATAGAACAAAATGGAAAGATAATGGATATTAAAGAAATGTGGTCAGTAAATTAAACCTTTCTTAACCACAGAGTACATTTTGATAGCTTTAAACCATGTAAAGTATATTTAGAAACTCCAGAGTAAGCAAACTGGGTAGAGCCAAAGTACATATCACAGTCTATATTCTCTGTTCATAAGAACACCTACAAAAGTCTTCTTTCTTATACTAGTTTTTTTTTCCTGGTCTGGGGCTTGAACTCAGGGTGTGGGCACTGTCTCTGAGGTTCTTTTGCTCAAGGCTAGCCACTCTACCATTTGAGTCACAATGCCACTTCCAGCCTTTTCTGTTTATGTGGTACTGAGGAATTAACCCAGGGCTTCATGTATGCTAGGCAAGCATTCTACCACTGAGCCGCACTCCCAGTCCCTCAAATACTACTGACACACCATTCTAACAAGGTTTTTTTTCTGTGTGTTTTTTAAGAAAGTAGATCATTAAAAGAGAAGTCAATGAAGATAAATAAGATAGCTATAACACAAACATGAACAAGGAAAAATACCCAACATATATATTAAGTCTTAACAGTTTGGCCAGGCACTGGTGGCTCACACTTATAATCCTAGCTACTCAGGAAGCTGAGATCTGAGGATCACAGTTCAAAGCCAGCTCTGGCAAGAAAGTCGGTGACTCTTATCTCCAATAAAACCACCAGAAAACCAAAAGTAGCACTATGGCTCAAGTAGTAGAGCTCTAGCCTTGAGCTGAAGAGCTGAGGGACAGCGCCCAGGCTGAGTTCAAGCCCCACAACCAAATAAAATAAAATAAACACAAAAAACAAAAAAATAAAATAGGTGAGACTCAACAGTTTGGACCACAAACAGACTTAACAGTCTGGACCTGCAAAGTCTAAAATAGTGGCTATTGAGCAAATGAGAGACATGATTAATCCAAACTAAGAAGTGCTGAAAAAAAGTTTAATATTAGATTACAAAGCTTCAGGAATATAAAACATTTTTTGTATACCTCCTAAAAATGTTTAACTTCTGTATGTGCTTTATGTGGACAGTTCTACTTTTAGCCTGGTCTAATCTATTTCACATCAAGACATAAAACACTAAAGATCATGAAAATTCCTAAAGCCATGAGTCTAGTACAACATAATTTGGTAATTATTTCTATAGTGAGTATATATGAACATTTACACTTCCTACAGCTTTCAATAGACTCTTATGGGATGCAAACCCAAAAACCTTGACAGCCTGTTTGGAGTGGGTTGAATAACTGAGCAAAATAGGATGAGAAATTGTTCTATTACTCTACTACTATCAGAGACTAGGACTAAGTACAGTAACAATTCACTGCTAAAACTATTTAAGACTAAAATTACCCATGTAGAAAATAAAGCATAAAATGACAGGTTATAAATTACCTTTCAATCTCAAAAGGGAAAAAAAATACAAAGACAAAGTAATTTCAGTCTTTCAATCACTAAATATTCACTATGTAATTTCTCTACTTTTCTATAAATTTTAAATATTTCATATTAAAATATTAGGATAAGTATTGAGTATGTAGTGCATCAGACATTAAGCTACTGCTTTGGGAAGAATACAAGATTTATGCTTTTATAAAGATTAGTGTAATGGACAAACATGAGATCAAAATATAATGTATAAATTCTGTTTTTTTTTTGGAGGGGGGGTTTGGTGCCAGTCACAGGGCTTAAACTCAAGGCCTGGGTGCCGTCCCTGAGCTCTTTTGCTCAAGGCTAATGCTCTATCACTGTAGCTACAGCTACAGTTTTTTGTGATTAATTAGAAATACAAGTCTCAAGGCCTTTCTTGCCCAGGCTAGCTTTGAACCACAATCCTCATATCTCATCCTCCTGAGTAGCTAGGATTACAGGCATGAGCCAAAGGCACCTAGCACAATACTATAAATTCTGCAACAGAATTCTCATAATATTATTGGAACAAAGACTAATTTGGTAGGGAAAATGAAACGACAAAGTATTATGGTTTCAATATGAAATGCCCCAGAAGCTTATGTTAAATGCTTGGTCCCTAGATAGTGGCACTATTTCAGAAGATTCCCAAAACTTTAGGATGTAACACCTAGCTAGAAGAAGTACGTTATAAGGGCCATGCCCTTCACGTCTGTATCATCTCACTGAATTCCACTCTCTTCCTTGGTGGTTTCTGTCTACCAAGAAGTAAGCAGTCAAAACAGCTGACTACACTAAACCATGCTAGTAAAAACGGAAAGATTTGTGTTTTCTATCTTATTAAATGTATATATTAACCTTGAATACCTAAGCAGAATGGAGCTGTGGGCCCCAAATGAAACAATAACTAACTTACATTCATAATGAGACAAAATTCAGATGGCTGACTACAGCTATCAAAAAAAATTTATCTGCAAAAACGGATAAAGGGCTTGGGAAGAGCCAGGTCCTCTCAGTGATAGTACTTACCTTAGGTTTATTCCCCAGCATGACAAAAAATAAAATAAAAGAGGATACTATAATAATTTATAATATGAAAATATTTTTGTGCCATCTTTTGTGGGAAGTCAATAACACTAAAGTACTAGACTACTACTACTTCATATAGAGCAAGTATTATACAAGACAAAAATAAATCATGTCACTATCGTAAATACTATAAGTTCACACAAAGGGCTACCTTTTTTATAATACTGACCTGTAAGAAGCCAAAGGTTCACGAAATTCCACACGATTGTTTTTCTTTACATTACTCTCCAGGGTGGTAGCTCTAAGAGGACTACGAGATTTCTCTTTTCTTGATTTAGATTTGGAGGCTGGAGCATTACTCCAAGAATCATCCAAGTATCTACCATCTGAAAGAAAAGGAATATGGTATAAAACTTGACAATTTCTACCAAAAAAAAAAACGACAATTTCTGGATTTGATGAGTAAAAAGCTATATTAGAGAGGCTAGGCTTGTTGGGCTCATACTTAATAAATCCTAGCTACTCATGAGGTAGATGTTTGATGGATTGAGGGTCAAGGCCAGCCAGGAAAAAAATCAGCAGGACCTTATTTCCATCAGTAATTTGGATATGGGAACAACACCTGTTATTCCACCTACATGGGAAACTGGACTACAAGAATTGAGATCAGAGGCTGGATAGGTGGCTCAGTGGTAGAGTGCTTGCCTTGCATGCATGAGGCCCTGGGTTCGATTCCTCAGCACCACATAAGCAAAAAGAAAAAAGCCGGAAGTAGCACTGTGGCTCAAGCGGTAGAGCTCTAGCCTTGACCTACAGAGCTGAGGGACAGTGCCCAGGCCCAGAGTTCAGGCCCTGTGACTAGATCCAAAAAAATAAATAAATAAAAGAATTGAGATTAGAAGCTAACCCTAGGCAAAGATGCCATATACTACCTGAAAAATAACTATAACAAAAAAGGGATGATGTATGACTCAAGTGATAGAACCCCTGCCTAGCAAGCATAAGGCCCAAAGTCAAACCCCAGTATCACCAAAAAAAATTTATACATAAAATTCCTTACTCATTCACTTAAAAGTATTAGATTAAAACCAAAAACTGATAGGTTTTTTTTAAGCCCAGTTTAAATAGAGCATATCAACTTACAACTTTTAGCCCAACAATTAAGAAACCACACAATCAAGCTAGGTGTTAATGTCTGAAGCTTGTAATCCTAGCTACTTGAGAGGTTAAGACCTAGAGGACTGTGATTTGAGGCTAATCTAGGCAGAAACATTTAGGAGACCCTTTCTCAGCACAGAGCTGAATGTGGCAGCACATACCAGCTATCCTAGTTACAACAGGAAGCCTAACAAAGGCTGATTGCACCTGGGCACATGCCTAGGCAGAAAGCAAGACACTATCTCAAAAAATAATCAGCAAAAAATAGGACTTGATGAGTTCAAACCCCAATACTGCAAAAAGAAAAAAAGAGAAGGAACTCACAAAATCAAGTATGTCACTGGGTGCTGGTGGCTCACACCTATAAGCCTAGATACTCAGAAGGCTGAGAGCTGAGGATCACAGTTTGAAGCCAGTTCAGACAGAAAAGTCCTCGTGACACTCTAATCTCCAATTAGCCACTCAAAACCAAAAGTGGAACTGTGGCTCAAAGTGGTAGAGCACTAGCCTTGAGAGAAAAAAAGTACAGGGACAATGCCCAGGCCCTGAGTTCAAAGCCCACAACCAAAAAAAAAAAAAAAAATGTGATAAGCAGCCAACTATTTACATGGTATTACTAGCTGTAGGAAAGATATTCCATTTACAATTTAAAACTCCAATAAATACACATCTTATTATGAGTTTTGTTTGTTTTTTTCTGTCGGCTATAGGGCTTGAAATCTGGGCCTGGGAGCTGTCTCTCAGCTCTTCAGCTCATGGCTAGAGCTCTACCACTTGAGCCATAGCACCACTTCTGGTTTTCTAGTGGTTTACTGGAGATAAGAGTCTCACAGATTTTCTTACCCCGGCTGGCTTTGAACCTCTATTCTCAGATCTCAGCCTCCTGAGTTGCTAGGATTACAGGTGTGAGCCACCAGCACCCAGCCTTATTAAAATGTCACTTTCAAAACATACCTACAAATTTTATGAAATAGGACTATATAATCTCAAAAAAATACATCAGTAATACAAACAAATGAAAACTTCCTGTCAAAGATGCTACAATAGTGCTACGGTTCCTGATCAAAAGATAGTGAACAGACCATTGACAATCACTGACCATGAGCTAATTCATAACTAATTCATTACTATAAAAGGAAAAAACTCAAATGCTGATGAAGTTCAGTCTCCAACAAGAAAAGCAAGCAAACACATGGAACTATCAAAAAAATATTAAACTGAATCAAAGCTAGCATCAAATACTCACATTTAATAGCTATATCTTTGGGAGTCACTTCATACATACCTTTTCTACTTATTTTTCGGGTAGCACTTGTAGAAGACTTCTTGGCATCCATGACAGAATCAAACACAGCCGTACTTGTAGGAGCTACTTCTAATTTGTTTTCAATGTGCCTCAGCTAAAGTTCAAATAATGTCACAATGTATTAGTTAATTCTGAAAATAGTTCACATTGATTTACACAGTTATTGAAAACTATATTGCCAAAGTATATTCTCCAAAGCAGAAAAACTCAAATGCTTTCTTTTATTAATAGCATTTTTCTTCCTTCTCTGTTACAGGATTCACAATATGGTAACATGTTGCATCTTATTTTATTAGTACTAGGTTTGAACCAGGGACTTGTGCTTAGTAGGCAGGTGCTCTACCACTTTAGCCAAGCCTATATACCTTATATATATTAGTTTTATATTACTTATTACTTCAGTTGCAACCATGCTTTGAACAAGAATATCAAATTTGAACATAATATCAAAAAGACTAATGAAGAGTTTCTAGTCAACATTGAAGGGCTAAGTCCTGCCTTATTTTCCAGGGTCAAGCAAAGCACCAAGTATGTGCTTATCCATAGGCAGGGGTCATTCCCACCTTGGCCCCCAAGAGACAATAGCCCCCACACAGAGCATTCCACTGTAGGTCTGGCCAAGGACATGACCCTTGATCCCAAGGAGACCATAGCCTATTTTTAATTCTCTGCTTCCCTGTTAAGCCCTATATAAGCCCACTCCAAAATCCAGTCCCTTGCACAACCTCCAAACCCATGGGAAAGTCTGTATCCTTCGTTGTTCCTCAATAAATAGTCCTTGCCTGTTGACAATCAAGTCCGGCCTATTCCTTTTCCAGTCTTCTCCATTTTCCCAACAAACATGATATTCAATATTTTTAGTTGATGAGTTTTTTTGAAGCAGTAAATTATGATATTATATATTCCATATAATTAGATTAATAAAATCTTATATATTTTCATGCAAAAATGAGGAAAGAATAATTTAACTGGACTAAATACATTTCTAATAAAGACAAATTCACAGGATAATAAACAGGTTTCATATATATTTTGCAAGATAACTCAACTTTTATTATAACTACCATGTTCAAGAAGCACTTTATCCTAAACAGTAAAGTTCAAGAGAAACTGAACTCTAGAAGCCTGTATGATAGGCTTATAGTAGAATATTTAAAAACAGAAAAAATATGTATATATAATAAAAATTAAAATCAAAATTCTACCAAAGCTAACTGGGGCAGGAGATCATAAGTTCATAGCCAGTCTGGGATACATAAGGACTGTTTTAAAAAGCAAAAAATAAAATATTCTATCACTTTGAAATATTTTGTATAAAACTTACCTTATTTCACATTTTTACAGTGTGCTATGCTAAAAATAAATTGTACTAATCCTTTACTATTTCTGTATCAGACTGCCCCACAACCTACACTAGTAGTCTCTCATATCCTTAAAAAACTCTTCAGCGGGCTGGGAAGGTGGCTCAGTGGTGACTGCTTGCCTTGCATGCATAAGGCCGTGGGTTCCATTCCTCAGCACCACATAAGCAGAAAAAGCCGGAAGTGGCGCTATGACTCAAGTGGTAGAGCACCAGCCTTGAGCTGAGGAGTTCAGGGACAGGGCCCAGGCCCAGAGTTCATGCCCCATGACCGAACCCCCCCAAAAAAAAACAAAAACAAAAAATTTTTTCAGTAATATCGAAGTTTTGAAAAACAGCTACTAATAGTTTAGCTCTAAGTTAAACTGAGGAATAAAAACTATCCTGACGTGGCAGATGTATAATTTCATATAGAAAGGAGACTTTACATTGATTATTCATAAGGCCAAAACTTGACTCAACACTGAGACCAAATATACACTATAATTCCTTTACTCGATTCCTAACTTCTCAAGAGGCTGGGATCTAAGGATCACAATTCAAAGTCAGCCCAGGTAGAAAAAGCCTGTGAGACTCTTATCTCCAATTAACCACCAAAAATAGAAAAATTTTAAAGCCAAAAGTGGAGCTCATGTGGTAGAGTACAAACCTTGAACAGAGTTCAGGTACAGAGTTCAAGCCCCATTACCAACACAAACACACACAGGAAAAAACAAACAAACAAACAAACAAAAACTCAAACCTCAGACAATGAAGAAGCAGGTGATATGACTCCAGGTGACACACAAAATCAAACAGGCATATCAAAAGTGTAATGAACCCAGAAAACAAATGCAAATACGAGTATATAAAGGACTATATGTTATTTTGCAAAATTTAGATTCCTAATAGCCAGACAAGACTTGAAAGGACACAAATGGGAACAAGTTGCCTACATAGTCCTTCAGTAGTATAACAAAAAATAGCCTGTTACTGCACAAAAAAGAGGTCACTCACAGTTCATTAAAGGAAAAGCTGGTTCTTTCACTCCTCCCTTACAATAAGCCTTCTATATAGACACAGGCCAACCTCCCAAATTCATTCTGTTTAAATCTTCATTTCTCCATACAAAAGAAACAAATTAGTTAAAAGTGAATCAGTGTAAGTTCTTTTAATATTTTATATACCGTTGTGTTAATGCGCCTGATTCCAAAAGTAGGGTCTTGTTTATTCCTTATTGCTTAAAAGCTGTACTTTATGTTCACTATATAACATATTTAACTTCTTGCCACAATGATTACCTTTATTTTCCTTTTTTAAAAAGTGCTAGAAAAAATGTTTTACTCAACCAAATCTTAACAAGGTGTTAATTTTAAAACAAATAAAGAAATGGAAGCTAAACTTGCTTACAGCAGCCTTGGTCTGAGAAAGTGCATCCCACGATGTGGTTCTATCTGCTGGAAAGAGTGATATTTAAGAATTAGAATCTCTGAAGACCTCAGAATGAAAGTTTTAATACACTTCCAAATTGATCTGCAGAATTATTCCTCAGCAAGTGCTTTATATTGAAACAAAACAGGTTTTTCTCTGTCTCCCTATCATGTTGTAAACCATATCAACAGTTTAATAAATACCAACAGTAGTACAGCATTAGTTCTTAGGACAATTGGACTGACATTCAAAAATAAACAGTATCCTCAGTTTACACCAATTGGCTGAACAAATACAAAACTAGTCTTTTTTTAATGCTGGTCCTGGAGCTTAAACTCTGGGCCTGGCTGTCCCTGAGTTTCTTTTGGTGAGTACACTACCACTTGAGCCATAGCACCACTTCCAGCTTTTTCTGAGTAGTTTATTAGAGATAATTCTCACAGACTATCCTGCCCAGGCTACAATCCTCAGATCTCAGCCTCCTGAGATGCTAGGACTACAAGCGTGAGCCACTGGTACTGGGCTCCAGAACCAGTTTTTCCATGTAGCCCAGACTGGCCTCCAACTCATGATCTACCTGCTTCAGTCTCCCATGTGTTGGGATTATAGATGTGCGCACATGTCCAACCAAATAAAATATTTTTCACTGTTTTATAGTTAACAATATAATATGAATAAGATTAGAAAATTATTGCAGATTCCAATCTATAGGTAGAAACAAATCTAATTTTTCACTTTCAGATAACAGCCCTTCAAATAATTTAGGATATTTTCATTTCCTCCAAACAATTCTCATGTGACTTGAACCCTAGTTCCCTCACAAACTCAAAACTCTTTCACCAGATATAATCCAGTTTTTTTATCTCTTCTTATATCATACCTTAGTTATCACTAATATTAGAAATACATTCAATAAAATTACAATTTTGGTATCTGTATAGGCTTATAATTACATCAGAAGCTATATTATACTAACCATATTAAGATCAGAATTTCTGGGAAAAAGGGTACAAAATGCATTTTATGCATACTAATGTATTTTATTAAAAGATGCTTCAGTACAAAAGTTTATCAGGGGCTGGGAAGGTGGTTCAGTGGTAGAGTGCTTGCCTTGCATGTATGAGGCCCTGGGTTCCATTCCTCAACACCACATGAACAGAAAAGGCCGGAAGTGGCGCTGTGGCTCAAGTGGTAGAGTGCCAGCCTTGAGCTGAAGAGCTGAGGAAGAGCACCTAGGCCCAGAGTTCAGGCCTCATGACTGACCAAAAAAAAAAAAGGATGCCTTTGAAAGTAAAATGCTCTGTATATTCAATTTGAAATAACAATTATACATTTTTTATAAATCAAAATATATGTATAATCTTCATCTACACATCAGCCCAGAACTTAATATATAAGCCTAAAAGTTTTTCATTTTTCTAGAACAGGGCTAAAGAGAAATAGAAAAAGAGAACCATTTCCTGTTCCCCATGCAGAAAACAAGACTTCTAAGTTCAGTTTTAAAAAAATCATACCTTGAACAGTATCCTTGCTTTGAGAGTTCCTTGGATTTAGTAAAGGCACCTCTTTTGACTTGCTGCTCCTCATTTTGCCAATTTACCTGCAATTATATCATTAGTATTCACTAAATACCAGTACAGAAATGTCCTGACTTCTTGACCTTCATAAAAGTTATGAAAGAATTTTGTCATGTCTAAAATATATCTTTAGGGACTGGGAAGGTGGCTCGGTGGTAAAGCACTTGCCTTGCATGCATGAGGCCCTGGGTTTGATTCCTCAGCACCACATAAGGAAATAGAAAAAAGCAGGAAGTGGTGCTGTGGCTCAAGTGGTAGAGCGCTATCCTTGAGCTGAAGAGCTGAGGGACAGCGCCCAGGCCCAGAGTTCAGGCCCCATGACCCTACCCAAAAAATAAAAAATAAATAAATAAATAAATAAAATATATCTTTATATGCTCATAAGTATTCCATAATCCAATAATTTTATCTTTCTTTAGAAAAATAAACCAGTAAAAATAACCATTAAAAATTATATTGTGACTATCTCACAGTATACTGTCAACAGGTGGCTACTATTTAAAACACAGGAAAAAAAAGTGCTAGCAAAGATGTGGAAAAATTAGAGCCTTATAATGTTGGTGGGAACTTACAAAGAAACAATCAAGACAAGTACTAGTGGTTCATGCCCATAATCCTAGCAATTCAGGAGGATGAAATTCAAGACTGTAGATCCAAGCCAGGAAGACAGAGAAGTCTATGAGACTCCATCTCCAATTAACCAGCAAAAGGCTAGTCTAGAGATGTGGCTCAAGTGGCTGAGCACCAACCATGAGTAAGTAAGCTGAATAAAAGCATGAGGCACTGAGTAGCATGAGGCACTGAGTTTAAGCCCTAACATTGGGAGTGAAAACTCAACCTCCTGTGTAGCCATGATTAGAGGGAAGAACCACAGAAGTCTAGTAACTTTTACTATCTTTAAAGTATAACTCTCAATCTGCAAAATGCCTTTTTCTAGCCAACTGCAAGTGTTAACAAGTCAAATACATTAAAGCCATTCAAAATCACTACTTGGGAAATAAAAAAACTACCTTCTCAGACAACTGTATTAAGAAACTTTATGGCCACAGTTTTATTCTACACCTACATAGAAATTTGAAGTTACTTCTTGGACATTTATAGATTGTCTTTTGCTTATAAAATTATTCAAGAAGATGGATGGACAAAAGCATATGTCAATTGACTTTTTCTCCACTTGTCTTTATATTTCTAAAAGTTAACCTTTCCCCCTCTCTACATCACCATTACAATAACAATAAAAAATTTAACCTTTCAATAACATGTTATTTTATCATTACTTGGTGTAGAAAAGCTCAAAGTTGTTGTCAGTATAGATTTTATACTCCATCAGTAAAACATTATTACTTTGTCCCCAGAGAAATGTGTTTTAGTATTCAATTCTATTTTGTATGATTTATTTTATCTTATTTTATGGCTTTTTTGGGGGGGAGGGGGCAGTCCTGGAGCTTGAACTCAGGGCCTAGACACTGTCCCCGAGCTTCTTTTGCTCAAGGCTAGTACTCTACCACTTGAGCCACAGCACCACTTCCAGCTTTTTCTCTTGATGTAGAACTGAGGAATCAAACTGAGGGTTTCATGCATGTTAGGCAAGCACTCTACCACTACGCTACATTCCCAACCCTGAATCTTTTGTATTTCTTTAACTGAGAAATATAACAATCGGGACAATGACAGAGGATATATGTATGATTATAATAAAGGATGCATTAATTCTACTAGGGAATATCCATTAGGTTCCTGGGAAGAATATTCTTAAGGATGCCATATTAATGTCTAAATGAAGAACAGAGAAAGGAACAAAGACAATTTTGATTCAGGAACACTAAAGTTATCAACATATCAGGTTACAAAGCTTGCATTCTGTTATTAAGTAATAAACTTGCCATAACCCTCATCTTTCATACTGATAAATAACCTTGGTTTTCTGTACAAATGCTTCTAAGTTAGACCAGAATATCTAGTTAATATTTTGTGTGTGTGCGCGCGCATGTATATGTGCAGGTCCTGAGGCTTGAACTCAGGGCTTGGGCACTATCCTTGAGCATTTGTGCTCAAGGCAAGGACTCTACTACTTGAGCCACAGCTCCACTTCTGGCTTTTTTGGTGCTTAACTGGAGATAGAAGTCTCATAGACTGGGCTGGGAAGGTGGGTCAGTGGTAGAGTGCTTGCCTTGCATGCATGAGGCCCTGGGTTCGTTTCCTCAGCATCACATAAGCAGAAAAAGTAGGAAGTGGCGCTGTGACTCAAGTGGTAGAGCACTAGCCTTGAGCTGAAGAGCTGAGGGACAGTATACCCAGGCCCAGAGTTCAAGCCTCATGACTGACCCAAAAAAAAAAAAAAAAAGAAGAAGAAGTCTCATAGACTTTCCTGCCCAGACTGACATCAAACAGCAATCCTCACATCTCAGCCTCCGGAGAAGCAAGGATTACAGGTTACAGCCACCAATGCCTGGCCTAATTAACATTTTTAAAGCAATTTTATAAATTTTATTCACTATGGAATAAAAGCTAAGAAACATTTTGTCAATTATTTTGACATTAAGGAAAAGGATGACAAATTTTCAACAGCTTTCTAGACTGCTTTATATCTTGAGACTTTTTGTCTGCAGGGTCTAATTAAATGTTCCTCAGTTATCCACAAATAGACTTTCCTCTTCATTATACTTCATTATGCCTGGGCACTGTCCTTAAGCTTTTTTCCTCAAGGCTAGCACTCTATTACTTGAGCCACAGCTCCACTACCAGCTTTTTTGGTGTTCAATTGAAATAGTATCTCACAGACTTTCCTGGCCAGGCTTGTTTCAAACTTCAGTTCTAAGTAATCTCAGCCTTCTAAGTAGCTAGGATTACAGGCACAAGCCACCAGTGCCCAACTTCTTCATTAAGTTTTAAATTTACTATGCATAGTTAAGGTATACAACTATGTACTCAACCCTCAATTTAATAAACTCTTACAAATTTGACAAAAGCCTCTTATGTACCTTGACTCATATCTATCTCTTACTTTGACTAAGATATAATACTAGGACTGAGGAGGTGGCTCAGTGGTAGAGCGCTTGCCTTGCATGCATGAGGCCCTGGGTTCGATTTCCCAGCACCACATAAGCAAAAAGAAAAAAGCCGGAAGTGGCGCTGTGGCAAGTGGTAGAGTGCTAGCCTTGAGCTAAAATAGCTGAGGGACAGCGCCCAGGCCCAGAGTTCAGGCCCCACGACCGGACCCAAAAAAAAAAAAAAAGATATAATACTACTATCGTAAATCTGGTATCATGTACATTGTTCTTTTCTTTTTTCTTTTTTTTGGGGGGTTGGCCATTTTTTCTGGTGGTTTATTGGAGATAAGAGTCTCATGGATTTTCCTGCCCGGTCTGGCTTTGAACCAAGGTCCTCAGATCTCAGCCTCCTGAGTAGCTATGATTACAGGCATGATCCACCAATGCCCGGAAAGTACATTTTTCTTTAACTCTATTTTTCAAAAGCTGAAAATGACATCAGGTATGTTACCTCAAGTCTATAATTCTAGCTACTTGAAAGGTGAAGACTGGGGGACTGTGGTTCAGAAAGGCCAATCTGGGGGAAGAAAAAGAAGTTCTTAGAACTCTACCTCAACCAAAGGCTAGGCAGTGGCACATGCCTGTCAATCCAGCAACACAAGAAAACTTAAACTGGAAGATCACAATCTAGGCCAGCCCAGGCCTACATCAAGACAGTATCCCAAAAATAACTAATGCAAAAAGGGGTAGCAGGTACAAATCACAATGGAAGAGTACCGGTCTACCAAACTTGAGGCTCTGAGCTCAATCCCTAGTACTATCAAAAAGTAATTTTTAATGGATATCCTTTGTATTGTGCTCCAAACAACTGATCTCAAATTATGTCCTATAATGTTCTCGAAAAGACTTGTTAAATGAAAATCCCTATGAATCTAGTATGTATGTCAGTCTGCCTAATCCACAAGACCCTCACCCACTTATAACTGGCAATACAGAGTGAGGAACTGACTCAAGAGAAGTCTACCTAGTCCTTGGAAAATAAGATCACACAGAATTTTGGAAATGGAAAACTAAGCAACTGAACTGATTTGCGAGAAGCTAAACCAAAAATTCATGATGAAAAAGCAAAAGAAACATCAAAGAAAAATAAATGATAAAACATGTGCATCAGAGAAAACGTCTTGTTCATGACAATTTTCCAGGCCCCCTGGTATCAATACTTTACTTTTTGTCCTTGCATTCCTTAAGACTTATTTCACGGAAGCCTTCTAAAAAATTTCCTATTAATTGAGCTACCTTAAAAGGTGAGGAGGAAGCCACTAAATCATATACTTGGAAAAGATTTCTAAAAAAAAAACATTTATTTGGATGTAGGTGGTACATGCCTCCAAAAAAACATCTTTAAAAACAAGAAAGTTGCTTTTCTAATTTATCTCTCTCCACTCCTTATCTCTGATCAAAGCATCAATTTTTGGCTAAATTACTATTAAAAAAAAAAACTTCTTATACTGCTCTTAACCCATTCTCCATACTGCAACTAAAGTTACCTTTCTAAAACAGAAACAAACAGTTCAGTGTTTATAAATGTTTAGTAACTTTCCTCTATGGGATAAAGTTGCAAACTGCTTCACATGACACTTAAAATCCCTCAGGACATCAATTTACAGTCTTCGCCTCTTGCAATCTTCACTGTTTACCAACTGTTCCTATCATATATAGCCATATCTAGTAAGCATTTTCCAAAATGCCGGAAAATTATGCTATTTCTGTATTTTTTTCTTAAATTTTCTCTACAAAGAATGCCCTTCAAGGCCAAACTTCAATGTCTTCTCCCATAAGACTTCTTAGACTGCTCTAATGAATTACTATTTCATCTTTCCTACTATTTGCTTTTTAACAGTATACACATACGTATATACATACTATACATGTACATATATAACTTACTCAATGACTATTCATTGAGCATTTAATGCTCACAATCTATTAGATACACATAAATTAACAGTATACAACATGATTAGGGCCATAGT